GCCAACAAGTTAATCATATGTTGCATGTATTTGTAGCTTATGGTATAAGCTAACTATATGATATACATATAGAAAACTTGTCTTGCAAGCTAAAATATATGTCTTAAAAATTGCATATGTGTTAGAGGTCCTATAGAACATTGTTATGTAGTTTCTAATTAGATATTATATGTAGAAGCAAGAATGAAGCCTTCTTCACTTTTGTCAATTCCTTTCTTGTTTCTAATCTAATTTCAAAGATCTCTAGTTTTTTTATCTTTTGGCAATAGCCATTCTAGTTTCTTTTGAATATACATACTTTCTTATTTCTATTTTTTTAACTTTTTTTTAAAAAAATCTTTCTTATTTATTTGCCTTCATTGAATTCTTGTCCTTGATAACATCATCAAATTCAAGACATAATGCTTAAAAATTATAATTTTACAAGTAAAAATTGAAAAGCAAAAAAAACAAAGTTTAATATATGCTTGCAAAATATTGAAGGAAAAGCATTAATATAAGAAATTATATGGTCATTAAAAAAATTAATCCAAAAATATAGTTTTATATATTAAAGAGTATTAAAATTTTAGATTTGGTCTAATAATATTTTTTAGCTTTTAAAATTCTTATAACATTTTCAATTATGATTCTATAAAAGCTCTTATACTCTAAAATAATAATTTTATAGAATACTTCAACCACCCATTCTTATAATTGCATCATTATTTTAGAGCTTTGTTAAAATGATTCAAGTAACATTTTAAATAAGTCTTTAAATTTAAGTACTTAATTAGATCCAAATTTAGAAGCTAAATTATCTAACTAAAAACTTCAAAAGATTGCAATTTAGACTACTTTAGCATAAATTTTGTTAAAAGATGTAAGACATTGTTATATTGGAATATGATAATGTAAGGAACTAAATTATAATCTTATATAATATAATAGAATTAATCTTTAAAAATATACATATAATAATATTAATTTATGCTTTTTTATTTTTTAAATAAAACTATATCTAAAAAATATATACAAATTTATATTATAATAAAACTACTACCATATTTGATGAGATGATATATCATTCGTTTATTAACAAGACAAGGATTTACTATCAAAGCAAATTTTATTAATATATTTTTAATTTTAAAAATTGCATTTTTTTTAAACATCACAAGTCTAATGCTGAAACTTTTATTGAATTTGAATTGTACACAAGTCTTCTTTTACAAAAAAAAAAAAAAAAAAAAAAAAAAAAACAACAACAACAACAACAACAACAACAACTTTTTCTTATTACTTATGTACTTGCAAACTAGCCTATTTGAGTGCAAAACTGTATGGTTGATAAGAAAATTTCTTACTATTCTCTATTAGAAGTCTCTTTTCTATCTCTACTATTTTGTTACATCTATTATTACTTATAATAAATAGTCATATTTATTAATATATTTATTTAGATAAATAGAATTAAAGAGAAGTAAGTAGAAGTAGGTTCAAATGTTGACATCTTATTAGAGAGCTTCTTAAAAGCTCTATAGACATTACAGAGGTTTAAAAGTGATCGATAAATTGATAACTTAATAGCATGTTGAATATTTAACTTCTTCTATTACAAGTTGGCTATATGACCTACATATTAAAAAGTTGCTCTATAAATTAGACATGTGGCATATAACCTACATGACATTATCAAGTAGTTCTTTAATAGGTAGTATATATATGGATGCAAGAATGAGGCATTTCTTATTCTTATCAATGCATTTCTTACATTCTATCTTGATTTAAGATTTTCTAGTCTTTTCTAATCTGACAATAGTTATTTAATTTTAATTCTATATCCATATTTTAGTTGTATATATATTTATATTAGTAATATAAGAATATATTATTATTTTTAGAATTTATTTATGATACATATTTTTAATATATTGATAAAAATTCTAATTTATTTTACTTATTTTTTTAATAGTAAGTGAATACTTCTTATTTTTATATTAAAAATTTAAAAAAACTATTTATAGATATACTTACACTTATATAATAATCAAATTATAAATATAAGTGCACCTATAAATTAAACTACAATAAATCCAATAGAATATTTAAAAAGATGAAATTTTAAATAAAACTTAATTTCTTAAAATTTCTAAATTTTTTATTTTTATTTATTAAAATTTTCTAATATACTAATCTTTATATCTTTCATAGTTTTAGTAGCATGAATTTTTAGATTCACTAATAAATAAAAATAACTAAAATAAAATAATCAATTCTAATTGTTACTTTTAATGAAAATCCATCATGGATTCTATGTATTAAATTATCAAATCTTATACAACAATTAACATATTGAGAAGAAAGAAATTACTAGTACTTTCAATTAAAATAAATATCAACCAAGAGTTTGAAATAAAAGAGGTTTTAGATATAAGGCAATGCCAAAATAATTTAGAATATCTCATATATTGGCATAGATATAATATTAGTGAATGTACATAGGAGCCATATGAGAATCTTGGAAATACATCAAAAGAAATTCTATGTTTTTTTATCAACAATATCTATCAAAAGTAAGATCTAAATATTGATTATGAGATAGTAAAAATAAAAGAGGAATAAGCATAAGAATTAATATATTGGATTCCTATGAAAATATAAAGAACTAATAGCAAATAGATTCATTTCAAGAATTTTCATTTGTAGAATTTTCAAATGAAGCAATCAAAGTGTTTCAACTTAGATAATATTGCAATAGTAACAAAGATCCTTAAGAGAGACCTGTTCTTAAAATAGATAGAAAGTTATAATATGTTTAGTGCTACAATCTTAGAAGAGATTCTCAAAATCTATTAATATTGTTGTAGATAAATATTGCAACTAATAAAATTGAGAATGTATTATTTGAAGGTAGTTATAAATGTCTTAATAATGATCAAAAAATTGGATGGTATTTTTATTAAGGTATAGGACCTTATCAATAGACAAAAGAACTTATCAACCATCTTCATGTAGAACAAAGATTAGAGTTTGTTGCTAATACCATTTGGTGTATCTTAGACTTCATCAACTTATGAAGCAATGACACAAGTTATTTTGGAACTTCTTGCTTGTAAGCAAGAATAATATAATGAATAGCTATATTCACTAGTATATTTATATAAATCAATAGAATTAGATAGAATTAAGTAGAAATAGATTAAAATATTGATATTTTATTTAAAATCTTCCTATAAGCTTTATAGACTTTATACATCTTTATAAGTAATTGGTAGGTTGACAACTTGACTACATATTGCACATGTAACTATTTATATTACAAATTGGCCATATAATATATGTATCAAAAACTTATCCTCCAAATTAAACATGAGTCTTGCAAATTGGATACATATCATATGGTCTTTTTAACATTGCAACATAATTCTTTAATAGATAGTATAAATGGATGGAAGAATGAAGCCTTCTTCACTCTTATCAATGTATTTTTTATATTCTATTTTGATTCAAGACTTTCTAGTCCTATTATATTTGGCAATAGCTATTTTAGTTTCAATTCTATATCTATCTTTTATTTGTACATTTTTTCTCTTTTAGTAATATAAGAATGTATTTTCATTTTTAGAATTTTATTTTCAGAATATTTCATAAACTTGACACCAATGACCACAATTGCCCTTAAGCAACTAAAAGTAGTTCTTTTATTATGACATCAATCGCATGGTGCATATTTTTTATAATAATCTACAATACTAATTACAAAATAAACAAGCTATAGTATGCATTCTACTTTCACCTTATTCTTTGCTTTTACAAATCTTTATAAAATTTCAAATTCACCAAACAACAAAGCAATAAAATTGAGCAAACAAGAAAGACAATTGTAGCATTGCCTTGCTCCTTGTCTTCTCATTTTTGTACAAATTCTTCATTCTTAACCAGAACTTTAGACATTATTGTTTCCATATTTCGATTGAAGATTTTTGTCTCTATGTTTGCTAGCATTTACTAAAGTTCACAAACCACCACTTATTCTCAATTTTGTGAAGCATCTGTGATATTGGTTTTCGATTCTTCTCAAATGGAAAATGTTTTTCAAAATTAGATATCACAAAATAGGGATATTGAAGGGACAGTGCCGTGAAAGAATTTAGAAAATTCGACGACTCAGAGAAGTCAATCGTTGTTGGTCCTTGTTGATTCCAATTTGTCTAATGTAATGGTCTTTTATAGAGCATCTTTGGAACAGCGACTGACTTTATATATCCACCACTGGTTGGTCAGGAATTTTAACAACTGATTGTAAAACAAACATAAGCTTTATGCAAAGAATCTACTCATAGGATCCATAAATGAAGTCTTCAGAAAAGCTACTTTAGTGATGCTCTTGTGCAATGCACCAGATCTTAGAGAATCTAACAACTAAGCTTAAAATTTTGCTTCAAGGAAGAATGATCCAAGGAGATCCACGAGGGTCATTCAGTACATTGCTCAAGAATGTTGTGCACAAAAGGATCAGTCAGAAATAAAATGAAGGAAAGAATCAAGTAATATAGATTGAGTGCATCAAGCAACCAAATGCTTAAAAGCTCTCTCTCCTATTTCCACTAAGTTTAAGAAAAATATTTTCATTCCTGACACTTAATTTGCAAGGTATTAATCGCACAACCCAGATCAAGAGAAACTATCAACCTGCATGTCTGGATTTATGAAAATTTATTCAGCAGAAGTGTTGCTTTCTCAGAAAGTAGGTACAGACCCAGCCACTCCGCATAGGCCAAAGATGTGGAACAAATATGTGGCTTAATAGGCACTTCGCAGTGAATCATTCCGGTAGAATCTCTGAAAAGCCAATTTCAGAATGGTGATCACATGAGTACCAAGTTCACGTTACGGAGGTGAAGCTACCAAATATTATTTAAAAGTCCTACTGAGGCCGCAAAAATGATGGATTTGAACTTGAATACAATCATAACCCAAAATTTTCACCCATTACATATCACCAGTGAAATAATTTGTAAGGGAAGTAACATTCCACAACGGAATGCAAATACTCATTCTGAAAAGGGTGTGCCATGCAAGCACCTTAGCTGATAAGAAAATTCAAGTGTGACAACTGGGAAAATAGGGCTGCCGAGGTACCCATTCGTGAACTCAACACCTAAAGAGTGAACTATCAACTGTAATTTACAAATTTCTGTGGCGACAACTGGCAAGCCTCAAAGAATTCAATGGAAAATCTCCTTGGATGTAACGTCCCTAGAGAACGAACTTGAAATCGATCAGACGAGCATATACCAAACATGACCAACATGAAAATCCTAATGTTCTAAAGAGAGAGAAGTGTCAGAAAGAAGCATTGGGTTCGATGTTGAAGAAGACCCACTGGCTAGAAAAGCAACACATTGGTCAAGAGCACCCCGCATCCAATCATGGCGACATTGTACAATCGCGTCAGGGACAGCAAACTGGAAAAGAGCAACACTATCAGAAAAATATATATCATGAGGACGCAAAACCTAAACAATCTTGAAAGTAAAGATTTAAACAATGTTGAAACCTCCTTAATATAAACTCAATGGCGCATATGCTGTCTCAGTCACTTCACTCTTACTCTTGAACCAATATGAAAATACTGGTACTTCTAGTCTTCACAAAATCCACAGTACAACATCACGAAATGACCAGGAAGATATAAGCTAGTGTGATATGTTTCAGTAAGCAACCATCGGAATTCTAAACATGAAAAGGAAACAGAAATAATTATAATACACACATCGAGAGCAGAAACATCTAGTTGAATTATGTAAGCAAGAGATATCAGAGGTCTAGTCCGTCTCAGCTAACACATCCCCTGAATCTATTGTTGGTATCAGGTGCATACGAGAAGCATGGAGATGATCAGAATTGAAGCTTCCTCATAAACAGGAATTCATTCAATAAACAGATATATAGGTGGTAAAATTGATAAACAAAGAACTTACCCACTGCCTTTGGCGAGCGTGTTGTTCAGGCCAGGTTTCCAGTTGCTCTGTCACATCTAATGCAAACATATAAGCCCGACAAAGTCCTTCGGGACAGAAAACGCCTTGCTGTCGCTTGCTCTTAAAATCCCACGTACCAAGCATACCCTGCGCAATGATAATTATCACCGAAAAGAATCACAAGGAGCGACTTCGGAAACACAATGTTTACTAAACACATACTAGTATCTCATAGACGAACAGTATTTGTTTTAAATTATGATAACACATCCAAACACATTAGGTATCATTTTCACGTATCAACAGTTACTAGCATGTAATTACCAGCAGCTACATAATAGAAATAGTATTTTAGACTCGTGTTGAGCTTTGCAGCTTTAGAAATCAAAACTACACATCATAAAAATACGTCCAGGCGGCTCCTCGCACAAAGGTTCTATCGATTTGTTCGAAGCGTGTAAGGGCGGAGTATCAAATGGAAGAATTTTAAAAATTCGTGATAATTCGACCGGAACTGCAGGATAAAAGAAAATCAATTTTAAAAATAAATCCCAGCGAGTTGTGCTCGTTAATTAACTTTTGTTGCACACAATAAAACACAAAAAGTGATACCTGTAGATGGCCTTTGACTCCGGCCTCTTCAAGGGCTTCCCGACATGCTGCCTCTTCTACTGTCTCATCAGTTTCCCACCCGCCCTGACGGAAAAGACAAACTCCAACTGTTAAGGTAAATGGAGTCCACCAAATTATACTTGCTTCAACTGATTCTCCAAGGTAACGCCAATCATGAGAAACTAAGTGGAAAAACCATGTAATTTCAAGGCTGAGAGAGTTACATTAAAAACCATGAATATTACTTTCTATAAAATAGCTGTTTAATAGATTTATTGAATAATAACGAATAACGAAAACAAAAAGAAAAAAAATCGTAACAGAGATTACACAAACATATATTCCACCTCTGCACACGTTGGACTTGAATAGAAAAAACGAGGATAAAAGAACAGAATCTCAGGCACAGATTCTGAAATCTTGAAATCACCCCGAATTTCCAATTAATTATTATGCAACCCAGCATTCGAACAACCAAAAAGCATACTTCCCAAAAATGATACCAGAAAATAGACAAGATATGTAGTTCTAACCTTGGGAAACAATAACCCCTCACCCCTTTGCGAAGAGATCATGAGAACTTCCATTGACTTCCCATCGCCCGTTGGTCTATACCTGTACGGAATACACCTGCAAACAAAAATGCCCAACATTCCCAGAATTTCAGGGTGCCCAACACAAAGCACAAAAGATCTCATTCAAAATCAGCAAAATACAGAACCGAACAATTCACAGATTAGTGAACACGCTTCACTGAGAAGCCTTAGAATTACAAAAACACATACTGACATAGTCATCAAAGATACATACCCAGCAACAAGGCGATGACCATGTTCATAACGTTGTTGATGACGACCTGTGCGAGCCACTAGGGCAGTCATTCTGCCTGAAGTAGCGATGGTGATCCCTAGGGCTCGCTTGTAAAGAAGACGTAGGCTATTTTCTGCTCTTCAAACAGAAACCGACGTGTGAGAAAACTACGTACATAAAAGAAACCGAGGATTACACACCAAATAGAAGAAATAGCCTCTGTCGAAAGAAGATTATGACGAAGTGTACGATCGACGACTCCATTAAGATTTCATGTTCAACAATCATCTCCCCCTGTCGCTTCCTCCACGCTACGAATTGTAGGGTTTTCATGAGACTCCCCAACGACCACATGCATTATTTCCTGCCATTTTGAGAACTGGATGAAGATAAATGGTGTCAGGTTTTTAATACGCATTTTCTTGAGTTGAGAACTTAGCATAAACTTACATACTCTTGCTCAAAGACTGGTCTTATTAAATTATGTTTTCCTCATAAGAGATGGCTGAGATATATTTTTGCTCTTCAATGCAAAGCACAATCTCGAGCTCGGCATCAACTGACCAGATTCTAATAACACAATCGAATATACTTAATTTTCCCGAGAGGATTTACCTGAACTTAAACCATATCAGAAACAACGAGATGAATACTCATCATTGCCAAAGCAGACCAAGTAATAGAAAGCATTACCACAATTCACGAACATTTCAAAAAAATCTCGTTTGTAACGCTCGGCTGTTATTTACAGTGGTCAATCGGTAACAGTTCAAAAAGGATCTTTTGAAAAAACTCTATTCCTTCAAAGCTGCCCGAGCTTCAACATTGATTGTGATACAAAACACCCTTATGTTCAGATGAAGCGACAAGATAATGATCCAGACAGAAATGCGCAAGACCGTGAAAAGGCTGTGAACGAATTGATTTCCTCTTAAACTCTGATCTTTAGACAGGGTTGCTACAAAATACGGAACTGGTCATTTAGGGTAATATCCTGAAAGATGGACATGGAAGTGACCGTTGCAATGAAAAAGCTCTGCTTATTAACAACTCAATCCTGTAAAGAACATCTCCCAATACGTATCTCCCCTCAAAATTAATTGATGCCCATACCCTTTGGTGGAAAAATCTTGAGTATCAAGCTCATTAAATACCATATCCCTGATTCATAAAAGCATGAAGGCCTTCCTGAAAGGATGCTTTAAGCAAGGAATATTTTATGCTAGGAATATTTGTCTTACTATATTGACAGACATAGAGTGGATAGATTTGTTATTAAGTTTAAATCAGAAGGAGAAAAAAAAAATGACGAATGCGTCTGCTCCTAACTTTCCACAACCTGCAGTAGTTCCAAGCCCTATTTTGCTTGTCTCTATCGAGGCAAGTTCTGCACCTCATGGCGTTCATGCGATGCTTAAGTGAAATGGCATCGTAAAAGAGATGCTACATGCTAACATTTCAATCCCAAGCAAATACAATCATCAACCGACACACGTCACATGGGCGTCTACTCACTTCAATGTTCGAGCTTGAAAACTAAATAAAAATTAGAGTAGGTTTAACATTCGATAAATCAGTTGATTCTCAAGCTACGATCTACTACTATAGAACGCCGGAAACAGAACACCTGGCACATAGTGTAGTTTAGTTTCAATTTGAGAATCAATTAGGAATTAAAATTGAATAACTTGAAGGAAAACGCAAGACTGAAGACTAACTGCTGCGTTGCACATGCGATGCAATCACAAATACTGGAGGGAACCAGGGACAACTATACTGTTGAAAGCGCAAAAAATGGGAAGACCAACTACGTCTAAAACGAATTCCAATCAAGAAAACCCTAACATACATATAAACATCCTACCGCATGGTTGTGAACTTAAGCCCTACCACTCTTTCAAAGCTCAATACTGGGAGTCGGGTGCACCAGTAGGTAGACCCATGCTCAACACGGCACGCCGAATTTACCGCTTTTTGGATAGCCAGCTTTAAAAAATTGACCATTATCTGACGCGCTCAGAGTTAGACACGAAGAAATATAATGCGCTTAAGACTTCCAAGACGACTCCAAGACAAGGATACTTATCATCAAAATCCAAAAACCTCCTCAACGTGGAGAGAGATTATTATAAGTCCTATCCGCAGCCCTAAAACAGCCGAATCCTAAAATGTGCACCGAAGTAATGCTATGTCACGTCATCCGGTGTGAAACAGAATCTTCATCACCGTCATCGTCATCATGCAATCGCAGAACCAACGAAACGCGCTGCCAACTACGTAACCGAAACCAGACAACTTGCCGGAGGTAGCACAAGCAATTGAATGAAGGCAGAAAATCGAAGAATCCCTACATGGTAAGATACACAAGAGTTCGCGAGCTGCAAATCACTCCGGGCCCGCAAACAGGAATTCCTGCGATTCAGGTCACCTCCGAGTCAAAAAAAAAAAAAAAAAAAAAAAAAAAATCATCACAATGTGCATTGTTGAAAGTTTAAGTAAGATAGATTGAGCGAGTGACTACTACCTCCACCTGCACCAGCAGCAGCACCATGACATCGACGACGACGACAATGCTGGTGAAAGAAAGAAACTGAGGTCCATTCCATTCCATTCCCCGGCTTCGCAATAAACTCACTCCTCCCTCACCCCTCCGCAACGCCACAACCCCCCACCCGGCCCAGCCCAGCCTAGCCCGTCCCACCCGTCCTTCCGCGCCCCCGTGAGTGGTGGGTCCCATCCTCAAAATAGAATAATTCTTCGAATATTCTTCATCCTTGCCCCAGCGGTGCATGTGGAACAGTTTTAACACTTTTATTATAATGGACTCTCTCCTCCCTCGTGTACTCCTTCCAAACCAAACTAATATGAGGATGGGTTTAATTCTTTCATGTGCGTATATATACATGAAATTTAAATGGCATTATACAGTTTTGGTTCACATGGAAATGCGAATATTATAGATCTACCATGGTATTTTGCAAGAATAAGACACATGAAGCCCATTACAGTTTAACAATATGTGTAATTTACACCACATGAAATATAAAACAATAGATGAATATATATTGTAGTATGAGATCGTATTGGTATGATCAAATATAGTTTTCTCAAAACTACCTCCTGATTCAACCGAGAATATCATTTCCAAAATTATCATCTATATAATCAAGTCTAGACAAAGGATTCTCTAAACTTTCAAGTAGGGATCAATAAGGGATGCAAGATTCTTCCTTGAATATTTATTTATACATTTTTGCATAATAAACATGTTTAAGAGAGTCTTTAAGCATAGCAAAAATGATTCATGCAAGCCCCAATGTCTAACTTGGATGACAAAAAAGTGTTAGCTATACTTATCATATTTATTTATTTCACCCATGCAACATTGTTTTGAAACAATTCATCTTCGCTTGAACTACTTTTGTCATCCTTGAACTACAAACTTTAAATAAACATACAAAAACTTTTTGGGCCCAAGTCTTCATTTGAAAAACAATCTACAGCATATATTCATCCTAGACGAGTGGTACTCCAAATGTATCATCCCGGTTACGTGGTTATTTCCCGTGGATATAACCCAAATTCTAGAATTAACTCTAGGGAGAAATCCATCACAAGCACAATTTCTGTGGCCAGTTAAAGTCATCTTGGTGCAGTGGAGAAGGGGTATGCAAAACATTAGTAAACCAAAATACTGAATTCGTTACTTTGATTTGCATGTCCAACAACGCTGATGCACAGTTAAACGTTTTTCTAATATTATCAAAACATTAGAAATACAAAAATACAAAAAAACATCGTGGAACTATGTGCAATATCATGAAATTGAAGTTGCAATCAGAGGATGCAAGACATGAGCTAGATACCAACTCCCTACGAAAGACAACACAAATCACTGTAATCTCGAAAATTGTGCCCAGGTCGTGCCTTCAATTACAAGTGCACGTCAACCACAAAGGCATTCCGGAAAAGCTAAAAAAGTACAGTGGCAATCAGAGAAAATTTCATTGAAGCCAATAGACTTACACTTATATGCAGAAAATAATAAATTTGGCAAACTGCAGCCATCTCTGCATACCCATCTACAAGTCTCCGCACTCCCCTGCAATCTCTTCACAAAGTGTGACAATAACAACTAGACTGGTACATCTATAGTACTCGTCTTCACAAGTGTGACGCTTACAGAGAGGACTTCAATCTCAAAACAAGGGCGTAGGCTTCAAGCATCTGCGGTCACATAGAACAACACTATTGTGAGTTACAGAACACAAAAACACAAAGCCAAGAACGCAAGCACATCCAAATGTGAAACCATGACAGAACAGTGGATGTGATTGTAATAAAGAGTAACTGTCCTAAACAGAACTTGCCTGCCATGAGTTTCGCACATTGGTTTGCCACTGAGCCCCATATCTTACGATTCACAGCTCAATGTGGTCCTCGAGTTCTTGACACACGTAAACCCAAAGCATTTCAGTCGCTGCTGTAAGAACCTTCAATATTAAAATGGATAAGAATAAAACATCAATAATAAATGTTCGAAGAGAACAATATTCAGGAAGAGATAGAAACTTTCTATCTCTAGTTAACACGATTGATCACCCTCGACCTAAAACCTCGCTGAAATTTCTCCATAGATGTCATGTCAATACCAATGGGCTACGAACCAAAGAGAATCACAATGTCTTGAAACACTGTTCAGGAATAACACTAATATGCACAGTTCTTACTCATTTGCAAATGAAAAAAACTCTACACACAATTTTCTTTCTTTCGTTCTCCTTTTTTCTTTTTGTATAATAGACAATTCGTGTACTCACGGTGGTTCAGTGTGACAGTCACAAGGATCACATGTTTGCGTGGATCCCCGAGAAAGTTCCAGCTGACTGGACAGATTCCTCATGCTCAAGAATTAAGTAGACGGCTGCCAACACCAACCTGCAAACACCACCATACAGATCCCCACCAACACGAATCAACGGTAAACAAGGATGAAAGACAACTTGTATAAGGTCCGAGTGAGCATGTCCATGCAGACCACAGCTTCCCTAAATATACCTGTACTGATTTTTTTGGAGGTAAACCTTCGGTCACTGGATAAATGTTTCATACTACTTCTATTTCAGAGTGAACGAGTTGGTCTGTGAATAAACCCATTCGTCTACATAGTGAAATACATGACAGAAACGATACATGAACAAAAGGAACTCACCCAATGACAAGCACAAAAAGTATCACAGAACAATTATTGCAATCAAAATCCTGTGAAACAGATAGAAAACACATCCTTAAGGTAGATTAACTAAGAAGATGCCTTACACAAAGGGTTCAAACGACATGGGAGACGCGAAGTACTGCAGTTCATATCTAAGTTAACAAAAAAATGACTTTATGACCATGCTAAAACGATATGGGCCCTGAATCCAAGTCTACAGACGTCAGGCTTTTATTACAATAAACCATTTCATCAAGGCAAATATTAAAGTTCGAAGACAACAGGGAATCCTTCAAAAATTGACGGAAAAAATAAATAAATAAATGCAAGAAGTAAAGAAAGACAGAAAGAAACAGCCGAATTTAGAGTCAAATATTACTTGTAAATAACAATGAAGAAGAGCAGTAGATAAAATGCCAACTTGGCTAGCCGATACTTCTTCTCTCGATCCAGAAGATTAAAAATTTCCGTGACATCCAGCAGATGTTCTTTCTTCAGGTACCTGACGAAAAACACAGTCCATGATCGCCGCACAAACTACACGATGAGAAATACGACTCATGCAGAAATCCGACAAACAATATAAGTGCTTTACAAGAGTGCCTACAGAACTACGAAACAGCGTGATGTGATAGACGCAAGGATAAACTTACAAATTTATATGGTAATAGGCCAAAGGAACGTTGAGCAAGAACAGCAACCAATGACCGCTAAGAAGGCAGATGCACCCCAGGGCTCCATGAATCAGAAATTCAGGGACAATAAAAGCATTGATGCGGGATGCGGAGTCGAATGGGTTGATGTAATCGAACTCAAGGTCAGACAAGCACATCAGCTGCCAATCGATGACATATGCCACATCGAACACAACATTCATTAGTTTCAAGCCCACTCTTGAGTCTGAGAAATGCATCCAGGACGAAACTCATAAATTCCCGATGCCATGAGCATGTAAGAATCCTAGAACGAATTTCGCTCATTGCTCCAATCACAAACAAGTGGACGTACCCTACCAGCTCAAAGTACATGAAAGCACAAAGCATGACAACGGGCAAACCCTCCAAATTTTTTCACACAGGCACATTTTGCAATTTAATCCTCAGTAAGCCCGAAATTCAATGTCAACCCACAGACTATCACAAGCAAGGCCCTTGGTCCAAAACCCTAGCGAACATCTGATAAACGAAACGGGTCGCATATTTCCAATTGCAACCCAACTCCTTCCAAAGCTTGCTTCCGAAAAACGCTAACCAAACAGTCCGCTTCGCACTAATCCACACACTAGACTACAAAAAACGCCCATCACAGCCCTCTCCATCCGTAACCCTCAAAATCGGTCCCATTCGACGATCTGTACCTGGTAAACAAGGATTCCAAGCAACGAAACAACGGCGAGGAAGCAGATTAACCACAGAAGGAGATCGGAAGCCATAGCTCCCGGCTTTCGCTGCTCCTCTCTAGCAGCAGCACGATTGCAAAATCACCAACAACACGAAGGGGCGGGTGCGCAGCGAGGCCAACGATGAGAAGAATACGTGACAGACGGTCGACGTGTTCCGTGGGTCTAGACCCTCAGCATTGAGATATTCGGAGGAGAAATGGAGGGTTGGTTCAATTGCAGTGGAATTCCATGCCGATGCGTCGTGCCAAGGCTGAAGAGAAGGAGGCACACCACCACCACGACATCGGCAATGGAGGAGGGGCACAGAGAGAGAGAGAGAGAGAAGCACAGCACAAGCACGGAGACAGATGGAAAGAGTGAGAAAGAGAGCGAAAGACAGAGCGAGCGAGAGAGAAAGGAATCTCATCACCACGGCGCCCTTGACCATGGCCCAGCTCTGTTCAAACTATGTGTTCGAATCTCCACGTGGCGATCTCCACATTCTATTCAAATTCGCCGCATCGAATATCCACGTGTCCACATGAAAAATAATTAATGTGTGAAAGAATGAAATCACAGAACACATGGGTACATACAAAATATGACTGAAAACATCACTACGATGATATATTTGGATCGCGAGAATAATTATTTAAATATTCTAAATATATGTATTATACTTTAGTTTTTCTTTCTTCTTTTATTTTTCCCCTCGATTTAACCATCAAAACTATTGTGAGATATTGTAAAATCTTATGCTTTGTTGGAGAATTGAAGGTGATTCTACTGGATTCGTATTTCAATAAAATAAAAAAATTAAAATGTAAAAGAAAAAAATATATATTGTTCTTCAATAATGGATGTTCTACTGGTAACTAAATTAGTAAACTTTGTCAATCTCTCTCTCTCTGTACTTGTAGATGGTCTCAACAAACTTGCTTAAGATAAATTAGTAAATTAGCAGGTACCTTCTTCACATCTCAAGGATTACATTCTATGGTCACAACACCATCTAATACATGCGGATCCATGTATCTATCTTTCAACATTTTGCAACTTACCCTATCTATCTACTAGCATAGAAAATCAAAGAGCCACTCTCTAAAATGTTTGTAGGCGAGATAGAACAATAGAACATTCCCATTCATAAAATGTTCATTATGTTACTACTTTGATCAAACTAGCCCAATTGTTATGAACATGCTTATTCTTAGATTGTTCTACCTCAATCATCTCACTCTCACTATCTATCTATAATGAAAGTGTATCTTAAAATTCGCATTGCATATTCAATATCAGAATTTAGCTATAAAATGTATCATGTTTAGTTTATCTACTTATTAATAGGTTTTATTTACACACAAAATAAACAATTCAATGAATATTTTTTGCCACAGAATTGAACAATGCTTTATCTTATAATTTTACTGCAGAATGTGGTGTATCAATTTCTGTTTGATCATCTTGCAATGCTGATGCTACATTCTTCAATACCTTTTTCCCATTCATGTATGGAGGTTTTGCTAATCAGTGTGTTTATACCTTGACACATCTCATGTACGTTCCAAAACAATAAAATAATAATAATAAAAATGTATTCATACCATATATTTCATTGTATAAGATGATACAATAGTTTACATTGTGTCAATTTCATGGAACGGAAGGAAACTCTCAAATTGAGGTGTTCAAACATCTTACACAAATTCACTGAAGCACAACAACAAATTTTTGTTAAGCTAAGCTGGTGATGAGGAGGGTGGAACTCCAGATAATTGACCATCACAATTCCCTTCTGCTCGACGAGGTTGGAGTAATTGCAACTACACATTAAAAAAGGAACAAATAAATCACCAATCAACAACAATAAAAGACGGTCAGTATTGCAGCTTTGTGGTTGAAATAATATTATGTGTGTGTTTGTGTGTGTGTGTATATATATATATATATATATATATATAGTTATTTGTTTCATTAATTTTAATATAAATTTCAAGTAGAAATGATTCTATATGATCAAATCATATCTCCGAGAATTTACTTAAATTTCAATTATTAATATCACTTTCATGAAGAATGATTTTTAAAGTGAGTGTTCAATAAAAATATAAAAAAATAAATTTGATTAGACAATAAATATTTGCTGTAAAATAAAATGTGTAAAAGAACCTTATAGAGGAACCTTTGTGAATTTCCATATATATATATATATATATATATAACATCAAAGACTTTAGAGACCAATGATGATTTGTAAATGTGCCCTGTCAATAGATCTAAAGCCTTGCAACTAGAATTATCTAAAGAACCCATTCATCATTGTTTAATTTTTTAATAAATGTGTTTGTCTGTGATTTATGCTCTTTAAATTCAAAGAATATTTTTTACTGTGCATGCAATACTTGATTCAGAACGGTTATGTTTATTTATAAAAAATACCAGAAATGGAAAATTTGAGTCATTGAGGTATTACTGAATGATCTAATATTAAAATTAAGAGAACAAGTAATAAATCATTTACTAATACATAATTCTTGTTACATAACAAAAAACCAAAGAATATGTTAACATTTTTTATTATTTATTATTTATTATTTTTTTTAATGTGAAGATGATTACTTGTCGGCAAGCTTCTTCATGTTGTTTTAGAAGAAGATCATATTTTGCTTCCAATTCAGCTACTTTGTTTTTGGACATCTCATGCTCTGAAATTGTTGGTCCACCTAAAGCATGTCTTACATATCTGCATTGATCTTGTCATGTTAAATTACAGATAAGTAACAAAATTTAAAATAATTAATCTGAAGAACCATACATGTGACTAGAATATTATTGGAATGTTTTTATTCTATGACATCAATATTCTGATGATAATCAGAATATTGTTACTGACACAAGTACTCACAAGTAAAAACTGACACAGGTACTCACTATCATTTGTATGATTAAAAAAAAAAAAAAAAGAAGATGTTACATGACATTTTTTTTATTTGCTAGAAAACAATGACTTACTCCAATGCTATAGGTGGCTTTTCGTTTTCTTCATAGATTGCAACCAATACTGCTTTTTTAAACATTTTCCAAGCACAATGACATAAAATCTTAACAACAGATACTTCATTGATACAATTTTAGTCATCAATATTGTAGAAATTGAACAATGAGCTTTTATTGATATACATGCATGCGTAGAAGATATGTTAAATGATTTGATGAGCATTTGTTACTGATTTATGTATATTTATTTAAAATTCTGCTGAATCAGATGCACAAGGAGCTTTGCTAATTTCATAAAAAAAAAAAAAAAAATCAATAATAGTTAAGAATGATTCAAAGCTCTAAAGGTGATGTAATTTGTAAGATTGCATTTGATTTATAATGAGTGATTGTACATCACCATTGAAGCCATCTTCTTCAAAACAATAAAGCAAAGAAAAACAACAACACATGAGAATCAAAATTTGACATTAATGAATCAAATAGTTATCAGATAATTTTGTAACCTATTTAAAAGATGATAATATTTCTACATAAAATTTGGGTGAATCTTAGATCAATAGTTTAAAATTCTATGCATACCACGCTTTCATTTAAAATTACATTCTCTTTATAATCCAGATTCCATATCATGATTTGAAAAAACTACTCCAACCCTTGTTTTTGTACATATTCTATTCTTTTCAATGGAAATATTACATGTTTTATCATAGATTTGTTTCTGTTTTGATTATTTGAACCTTGATCCACCAGAAAAAAAAAAATCTTAACAAAAAAATTAGTTATATGTAAATGAATCACATGCATAGAGACATTGTAAGTAGCCATGATAATTCCAATATTAAAAGTTTAGGGAATTGTGCCTTTTGTTATAGCTTCTAATATTCCACTTGATTCTAAATATTTTCGAAATGCTTCTTTTTTTGACTCACTTGCCATTAGAATTTACACACATAAATGTGTATATTACTGTAGCTTTATTATTGTGTGTATATAAATATATATATTACACTCGTTCTACACAAATCTTCAAACAGTCTTAATAATTGCAACACTTAATCAGATGTATTGTTGGTCTTTTGTTCAACTTGGAATGTTAAATTTGACAAATATCAAATGAACACTGTATTGTTATGTGTAATATTTATTGAAATCAATCAATGTTTTAGTTCTGAAGAATGTTATGACATGCCATATCCCTGTGTTGATGTGAAGTATATTACACTAAATGCACTTCTAGAAGTCTGATATTCAAAAGAAAACAATGTGGCATAAACGTTGCTCAGTAAGAATGCTACTGGAATTAGTTACAATCTTTACAGTTTTATATAGTAAAGTGCTATTTTGATTTAAAAGCCCAAAAAACGCATTAAAGTTACTACATTGTTCTAACAAATGTGATAAAAATCTTGAAAATTTGATTGAGTTATTCAACTCTAATTTAACTGGGCATTTTACATATAAAATGATGCAACTCATAATTAAGCATTAATTTTACACAATGGATGAAGTAGAAACTTGTGACAAATGGCACATTTATTGGGCTCAGATCCAAATCTGCTCTTCACAATAAACATCAAATCAGGCAAAAAAACTGTATACATCACAAAACCGTAATAAACTAAAAACAAATAGATCAATTAATCAAATGCCGCTATCATAAACATACATGTATTTATATTAATCCTTACAATGAAAACATTTATTTTCCGCTCAAATCACTGAAAAAGAACAAATGTGTTAATTAATGTATAAAACACACATTTGTTCTTTGTGTCGATTTTATCAATTCTTCTTACTGGATTGATTTGTAAAGGATTGGATTAACAAGCTTTATGAGTAAGATTTAGCAATCCTAAAAAAAAATATATATATATATATATATATATATATATTTATAAATATAAAAGATAACTCTACCAAATCATTCACTTGCATTACTTACATGTTGCGATAACACTTATTTCCTGCAACACTAGAAGTTAAATTTTAATTTCAAATGATAATCACAATGAATCATAACTTTTTCATTCATGAATGTACAGTGATGAATTGTAGACAAGTTTTGTAGCACTATGATTTTAAAACATAGATTTTTTTTATTTTTATTTTTTCCCTTCTTTATTGTATACTAAAAATCAAATATAGATGTTTAAATACTACAACTTTAAAAAACTATAGGAATCATTATTATTTTTTGAATATGTATATATATATATATATATATATATTAGGAAATGATTGAGTGACCCAAATTTTTACTAAATTGACCCACATGCCATGTTCCCAGCCACTTCCATATTTCCAACAGTCACCCCCACTTCCAATGTTCCCAACCCCCTACCCCCATCCTTGGCAATGGTTATGTATGGGAAACGGTTGGGACGAGAGATGGGGGCTCCAAAGGTGCAATGATGCTTAAAATAGGGTGGGTTGCTTTATTATTTCCATATATATATATATATATATATATTTAAATATGTGTTGTTAATATGAAGCACTAATGATCCAAACAAGAATAGATTTACTATCCATGCACTAGTTTTATGGTAAAACTAAAGATTTACAAAATAATTGTGTAATTTACAGCACAAATTCATGACCTCACAAAATATTATCTATTATCTACTTTGAAAACTAAATCCATCTTTAACCATTAAAGATGTATAGCTGGTACTAATATATCATGTCCTGATATGTTATACAATATTATCATTTTAAATATCTAATACCCAACGTAAATCATATTCACTTGTAGTTTTAATCTACTCCATATAATGATGCATGACGATGTAAACAATGTAAGTAAAAACTATACAATCATATTTTGTTAACATCAAATGTAGAATATTTTTGAAAATTTTAAAACAAGAATATATTTTATTTGAAAAGAAATAAAGATGACGGTAGTGATCATAAAATTTATAAGAAAATAATATATAAAATACAAACACATAAATGTTGCAATACTGATCTGTGGTGTATTTTTAAAAAAATCAGATTAAGGATTAAAAATTACCAATATCACAACACTACAGTATGACAAATAATGATCCAACAATTTTTACATTTTATATGATGAAGTTAAATATTTCCTACTATCTAATGATGTTGTAATTTAATATCGTAACGTTTTTTGTAACAGTCATGAGATTCAAATCAAACATTTTTAGATTGTAGCTGACATTTCTAAAATCACATGGGAAATCCCTCCCTACATGTTTTTCTCAACTCATCATTTACATTATGACAACGAAAAACACACACTATGTTTTAAAATTTTGTTGATACTGAAAAACAATTTATAAAAAAAACACATCAAACATACAATATATAAAAATCGATTGTTGTACCCAGAGAGAGTGAACATGCAGTAAGAAATTTCTACCCTTTATATAGTTCAATCGAAAATTCAGACATGAATTGTAAAAACAATTCATGTCAGTCCTTCAATCAACACAAATAAAATTAAAAATTTCCGCCCATGGTCCCTTGTAACTAACTATAAATAAGAACACAATGTCATTTTTTGACAATTTTTTTTATCACTTTCATTCGTTCGTTGTAATCACAAGATGAACAGAGATGGATGTAGACATTCATGCATCCAAACCACGGCGGGGAGGAGTCACCAGAGCGAAGGGGGTGGGGTTGCAATAGCGATGTAGAGCGGGGAGTAGTAAAACTTGATTTTCTGGTCACGAGTGGGGGGGTGGAGGGAGGGAGGCTACGTGAGTGCGCCGCAACAGAGCTCGACAACAGAGCTCGATCGATCACGATTGTTAGCAAGCAGCACAAACAAGTTTGTTTGTTTGATCTTCTTCACCCCCCCGCCTTCGACCAACGTACACTGCAATCTACCACTATAGCCACAACACATACTAACATCAACATCAACTCCCCCGCTTCCTCGCAGCCCGAATTCCCCAGACTTTATCCAACGGAGCATGTCGCTGCGGTGGTGCTGTTCAAGCTCCTCTGCTTGTTTCGACCTCTGAGTCGATTCACTGTGAGAAAATAATACCGATGTGGTGGTGGTGCCCGATTCTGTTCACATGCTGCGTCTCTCTGACCTCCTGTGCTGTCCGGACCTCTCTCATCGCTCGCTAATTGCGTTTGCGTCGTCTTGTTTACCCTGCTGTTCGCAATACGATCTTTCATTTGTGCGAGGATCCCTGGATCTGGATGATTGTGAGGAAGGCGTTTGATACTCTTCTGATGGCTATCGGAGTCATTTTTAGGGTTAGAGGGTTTTGGAGTCTCATACCGTGAGTTCACGTGAAGGATCTCGGAGTTGATGTGTTACAAACCACTGATGTGATGTTGTAGAATGAGTGCCTCTGTTGGCAGTGCTTCCCGCTTCGGTGTTTAGGACCTAATCGTCTCACGGGGCCCTTCTGCACGGGTGTGTATCGATGGAAAACATTCCTGTGCCGGAAAACGATCGTATGGAGTCGAAATCTTATCCCGAGAGCGAGAGGAAGGGGCACAAAAGGAAACTGGCAGACGCATATGTCCGGTTTCCTGCCGTGGATGAGCCTAACAACGCGTTTGCAACCAGTGTTAGGGATCAAGTGGAGATTCTGAGGACTTGCGTTTCTTGGAAAGAGAATGACCGTATTGCGGCGAGGCGCGCTGCTCATAGCCTAGCGGAGCTTGCCAAACATGGTGAGAAGAATCTAGCCATCCTGTTCGTTCAAGGGATTTTATCGATATTTTTTTGCTCGGAAAGAATTGCGCTTGAGTGTGTTTGTGGTTGCTTGTGAAAGATCTTCTCATACTAACTTAGGACACCCTTGCAACTCTTCAGAAGAGCACGTGGACACTATTGTAGAGGAAGGAGCTGTGGATGCGCTTGTTGCTCATCTCTGTGCGCCTAGTCTTAGAGAAAGCGAAGGTCCTATTGCCTGTGAACATGAAGTTGAGAAGGATGCAGCATTTGCATTGGGATTGCTTGCTGTCAAGGTGAGCGAGTTGCCTAAACTAAACTCGTCTTCCTATTCCAATTAATTTGCTTTGGGTAGCTTTTCCGCAATGGTTCTTTATCAATCGTAAATGTCCCACAGTCGTACTGACGCTTCTTGGTCCTATAGCCAGAATATCATCGGCGAATTGCTGATGCCGGCGCTCTTCCGTTGCTGGTGGCTTTGTTATCGCGTCGAGGTGGCACCAGCAATGCACGGGTTGCGAATGGCGTCGTCCGACGCGCTGCAGATGCCATAACGAATCTTGCACATGAAAATGCACTTATTAAGACTCGTGTTAGGTGGGAGCGGGAGGGCTGCTTAGGGTTCGTTGTGATGCTGGTTCTGATGCGCGTCTGTGAATGATTTTAGGTAGCACTGACCGGGTGGTTGCCGTGTCATTTCTTTGCACAGAACGGAAGGGGGAATTCCTCCGTTAGTTCAACTTTTAGAATCTACTGATGCCAAAGTTCAACGAGCCGCAGCTGGTGCGTTGCGGACGCTGGCCTTCAAAAACGAGGCCAACAAGAATCAGGTTTCTCTTCTTCTGAAACATAGACGTCCATTACTTTAGAGAACCACATTAATATCTGGGGGACATTAAGTGTATATTCAAGAGCTATCCTGTATATCATAATGGGATTCAGGATGAAAGTTCAATTGTTGGCACTAAACGTTTTACTGAGGATTCGTATTTTTGCTGTATCGCTCCTCCAGATTTCGTAATTGACGTCGTTTGTGCTCGATCTTCGTCCATTATTCTAAACTAATTATGAGTGTGTTTTTTTTTTTTCTGTAAATCAATTAATTCTCTCTCGTTTAACTTAATGTTTATTTTACAGATTGTGGAGGGAAATGCGCTTCCTAATCTTATTTTAATGTTGCGCTCAGAAGACGTTGGAATTCATTATGAGGCTGTATGAACCTAGCTCCAAACTTTGTCGTCTTTTCCTTGAATTGCACCAAACCTTGGTGATTTTGAAGCTAATCTCTTACTTCCACTTGCACGTGTGCTGTTATTACAGCGTGATAGTTTACTTTTTTGTTAGGGTATGCAATAGAATGCGTTAGATGATGCAAGTGTTTGGTCTTGAGCTAGCAAGATCTTACGATGCTGTGTTGTCCTTTTGCTGAACTACCAGGTTGGTGTCATCGGCAATCTTGTCCACTCTTCCATTAACATCAAAAAAGAAGTTCTTGCAGCAGGAGCTCTTCAGCCTGTTATCGGCCTCTTAAGGTGTCAAACTTAAATTTTTAATTTATTTAGTGAGGATATTGGACGATGAGGACGTGGTCTTAACACTAGTTCTTATTTTGTATATGTTGACTTCAGTTACTCATGCACTACACTCCGATCAGCATGCATGTAAATATGATTTTGACGCAATACCTATATTTTCAGCTAATGTGTGCTCGTGTGTGCTAGTTCGAGGTGCCAGGAAAGTCAGAGGGAGGCAGCTCTTCTGTTAGGACAATTTGCAACAACTGACCCCGATTGTAAGGTACTTCAACCATTTCATCTCTCCACTACATCTATTTTCGATGCAATCTGTTCGTGGTGAAGTTGTCACACATGGTTTCAGTGGTTCAACATGCAGTCGTTCTTCTCCACGCTGCATTAATTAGCTTCGGCCTTGTCCTCTACGAACTAGGTTCACATCGTTCAACGGGGTGCAGTGCGGCCGCTGATAAGAATGCTTGAAGCTACTGATACTCAGCTTCGAGAGATGGCGGCTTTCGCATTGGGCCGGCTAGCTCAGGTTCCGATTATCAAAATTTTTTCACAGCCATGATAGGGTTGGCAAAGTCTTTGCAGCGACATCTTTCTTTTTCCTAGCCAATTATTGTCATTTTTCGTTGTGAGCACTGATGCTATGGTTTGAATTAACAGTTATGCTTATAGTCTTCGCAGAACACTCATAATCAAGCAGGAATTGTACATGATGGTGGGTTGAAGCCGTTGCTTGAGCTTCTGGACTCCAAAAATGGTTCTTTACAGCACAACGCAGCTTTTGCATTGTATGGCTTGGCCGAAAACGAGGTCAGTCGAAACTGATAATGTCATCAAATAATTTGTTCATACTTTGATACTCTTCAATTTCGCAAATTTTTGAAGAGCCCAATTTTGTGATCGTTGTTGACCGGATAGTAATGTGTATTTATATTGAGATGGCGATGGATTTCTGGCAGGATAATGTCTCAGATATAGTTAGCGAAGGTGGTGTGCAGAGATTGTACGACGGCTATTTTATTGTGCAGGTAGCTCCACTTTGCGTACTTCTCATCCCTATGATGAATTGTTCTTTTGACGTGTTGTAGACATTTTTGCTTCATTTTGATAGAGTTTGTTTTAGAGCTGAACCTTAATTTTTAGCAGTGTATACATTCAGTGTTTGCTTCGATTCTATTTGAATGCTTTTGGCTGCCAAGATTTTTACTTCTCTTCACACGAATAGTTGATCTGAAAGTTCCCTCATTGCTATTTGATACTATACAGGCATCGAAAGATTGTGTGCAGAAAACTCTGAAAAGGCTGGAAGAGAAGATTCATGGGCGGGTACGGATTGACTATGTTCGTTTTCATGAAATTGAAATTTTGTTTCTATAGCAGACCTTGCGCTGCCATTTAGTTTACTATCAATTTTCTCTTAATCCTCTTAAGTTAGTTTTTATGTCTGCTCTTGTTAGGTTTTGAAGCACCTGCTCTATCTTCTGCGCACAGCTGATAAGGTCGTTCAAAGGAGGGTTGCTATTACCCTTGCTCATTTCTGCTGCCCAGATGATCAGCGTCTTATCTTTATTGAGAACAACGGTGAGGATTGGAATATTACTGTGCTTTTTTGTATTTTCATTGTTCAGTCTGTGTTAGATACTTGGTCAAGAATGTATAATGTGGTTTATATATCCAACACGTGGATGTTCAGGCATGGATGTGCTGTTAGAGATGCTGAATGTTTTCTCCAACCCCAAATTGCAACGGGATGGTGCTCTTGCCCTGTGTATATTAGCTAGAAAAGCAAATGCACTGTCACCTATTGATGCTGCCCCTCTACCTCCCACACCCCAGGTTGTTTCCGTACCACAACACGCATTCTAATCTGTGTTTGCAGTAAAATTTCCCATCTATATTGTTGTTATGTTGTGATTCATATTGAATGTGTAGCAATTGGTTCTTCCCATTTGTACTGATGTTGAGTATTTCATGACTTTGGACAGGTTTATCTTGGTGAGCAATATGTGAACAGCAGCACACTTTCCGACGTAACGTTTCTTGTAGAAGGTAAAAAATTTTACGTGCATAAATCAGCGTATTACTCACCTTTTCCTTCTGTTTTTTTTTGTCTTGAAAATATTAGTTTCACGTACATCGTTACTTGCTGTTTAGACCTACATTTGAGTTCTTGTAATGAATAATTAACAGTAGAAAAAAGGATAGTGTATGGATTTTAATTTATCATCACTTTAAAAAATGACAAGATTGACATGCTCGGAAGGTGACTCTATTAAAGAGGTTCAGTAGTGATTGTAGCATTTTTGCTCAGATGTGCTCATTATAAGTCCTTACGGAATTTCTTGATCTGCAAGGGGTGCCGTGTTGTGAGGCTATTTACAATAGCCGGTACTTGTTGTCACATGTCAGTAGCAGCGTATATTCCACACGCTTCTTTTTGCAAATATTTGATTCGATATTTTACATATTGCTTTTTGAATGTCTGCAGGCAGACGCTTCTATGCCCATCGGATAGCGTTATTAGCGTCCTCTGATGCATTCCGTGCTATGTTCGACGGTGGTTACCGGGTATTGTAACCCTTAATCTTGAAAATTTTCGATTCAGCCACTTCTGTTTCAATCACAATCTGCACTAATGGAATGGTGATATTACAAAATTCTTTTTTACATTTTTTTTTTTTTTTTTTTTTTTTTTTTTTGTCACTAGAAATCGCCAATTCTAACTGTGAATTGCGTGTTCATCTTTTTCAGGAAAAGGAAGCATTGGATATTGAGATTCCGAACATTAGTTGGAAAGTGTTTGAGCTGATGATGAGGTAGATAATGTCTTACCTTTCAAGGGAGTGACTTTTGAAAGTTCAAACTCAAAGAACTCATACTACTGATATTTGAAACACTTTATTTGTTTAACTCACTCCTTTACTTGGTCAACAATCTAGTCAAGGAGTTTTTTGTATTTGAATTCGTATGAATTGTTTTGAAACAAGTTCATCTTTTCATGTTAACAAACCCACGTAAACCCTAATCGACAAATGTGTTCAGCTATCATTGCGTTATTTTCGTCTGTTATTATGCTTATTCACATTTGATTTTTGATCAGTTTTTCATTAACTTTGGTACACCTCAGATTTATCTACACAGGGAATGTGGATATGGCAACTGATAATGCGCAAGACTTATTGAGGGCTGCTGATCAGTATCTGTTAGAAGGATTGAAGCGGCTATGTGAGTACTCCATGGCTCAGGTATGTGTCTAATTTCCAACCGCTGGATCTTGTTTTCATCGTAAGGCTTTATGGTTGACCATCCCCTCCAAGTGTATCGTACTTACATTGCATGGAGCTATGTAAGGATTTAGCACATCTTTCATAACTCATTGCTAATTCAACTGCTTGTTGCTGCGTTGCAGAACTTGACACTTGAGACTTTGATGAATGTGTATGACTTGGCTGAGGCATACCATGCTCTATCACTAAGAGATACTTGTGTTCTGTTCATTTTGAAACATCATGAACAAATGTGCAGCATAACAGGGTATTAAATTCCGTCAATTTTATTTAATTTTCTACGATCGCTCTATTTCATCTTTATTCTAATTTCATAAAAAGACATTTGTAGTTATTCTGAATATATGTCAACTGCCATTTGTTTGTGTGAGTTAATCTTTATGGGCTATTGCTCATTTCGGTGTCTTCCAGGTATCCCGCTCTGCTTCATCGCATTACTCCAGAGATACGAGAATACCTGCGTCGAATTCTGCGACCTCAACCTGCGGCGCTGCAGTGACCGCAAATGTGTATTAATACCGGTTCAGTTACTCCATCTTCTAGGATGCTATGACAATGTTCTAGAGCTTGAGACCTGGGCTTGTCTTCCTTTTTTTCGGGAACACACGGCGAGCGATCGCTACAACTTGACCCTGCCAGACCAGAGTAATTGATCTGGTTCTTGTCGTGAGATTTCTTCACTGTGGTTCTCCAGTTTCTGCCGGAACAAGGGTTGTTGTACTCCAATAGAGTCAAGCTTGATAAGCATATGTTTGCAGCATTTGAAGCTGCTACTGCGTGTCGTACACACTTGCCGACTTGGGAATATTGCTCGGAGGTTTGGTTGCCTTCTTTGTGGAATATTTATTTAATATAAAGATCATTTCATTTAGTACTTAGTGGCACGAAGACTCTGAGTGAACGACTTGGAAACTGCGAACTGTCTGACATATTAAGTTGTAGATAGAATTTTCTGTGCTGGTTGCACGAAAGCGATTTGGTGGAATCTGCTTCGTAAACAATGTGGACGTTTTCTCTTTGACCGGAACTTGAATCTGTCAGTGGAATTGTCACTTCGGGATATTTCTATGAACTCGGATGTGCAATGTACTCTGGTCTTATTTTCATGAATTGAGTATATCATCCACCTTTTTAACTTGGTTTTGTGTTAAGTTATTGAGAATTGTATCACTTAAAACTCACTGTGGATGTGGGTCTATTATCTACAGTGTTGATTGGTATACAAATGTTGAGGTGTCTCAAGGAAAGTGACCTGTCTCTGCGAAGTACTTGAATTTCGGACGGCATGTAGTGTAGAATATTGAGTTCAGTGGTTGTATAGTAGATTAGGAATCATGGGAATAGAATACTAACGTATTTATGTATAAGAGTATGTTCTCTCTTCCAAGTAGTGGATGGTTTGTGTTTTACACCATAGGAATGTCCTGTGCATAGGCATCCTTAGTTCAATTTGAATTGTTTGTAAACTTCTTTTTGTTTATGTTTTATTCAGTCCTTATATTTACAGAAGAAATCCTTTAATATTCATTATATGTGCAATGCAAGTATGTGGTATGCTATATATATAAAGCATTTATTTTTTTTCCTTGTTGATTTATTTATAATCATTTGATTTTCCCAGCACCTGAGGCTTTAAACTATTGTGTATGCTTATTTACTTAAAAAAATATACATACATACATAAGCATATTTAATATATATGTATGTTAACAATGGAGTAATCATGTAGAGTCATTGATACAGTTTTTTATTAACTCCAATGTTTATTTTACATTAAAAAGTCCTACATTAATTAAATTAACTTGTATAAGTGCTAAATACAATGTCTACTTCATATCATCTAAATAAGCTACTTATATCATTGATTTAAAATTTGAAAATATAATATCTATAAATTATTAATTGGATTGATTAAATTGATGTAAAATTTGCTAATAAAACGAAATATCTTAATCACAAACAACATATAAATAATTTCATACACAAAGTTTTGAAAACAAGATATTAATATTAACAATGGAGGTACAATTGTCTTATGTAAAATAGATTGTGTGTGAAGTTTCTTCAAGTGAAGTCATTCTATTAAATGAACAAATACAGAACTAACAATATAAATGCACAAATGCAGAACTAACAATAACCCTGGAAAAAGTTACGATTTTTTTTTTTGTTTTTTTGTTTTTGTTTTTGTTTTTTTTTTTTTTTTTGTGTGTGTGTGTGTGTGTGTTAATATTTTCAAAGTTAAGTTGTCTTTACCATTTCATTTGTACCTATATCGTTAACATCTAAAACAACTTTCATGCTAGAAAATCATCGATAATAAAATTGACGTAGTTGACTAATGTTATAATAAGATAGACAATCTTTTAAGTTTCTTCATTTCATATATTTATTTGATTCATTATCTAGATGCTTGAACTTATTTTACCGATTATTTACATGACTCAAGCTTACAAAATTCTCATAAAAAATTATGTGCTTGAAATTTTAATTTTCCTTTAAAATTAAGTCAATTATACATTCTAATTTCTAACCAGTAAACTGCTAATTACAATTGGCCTTTACTTTCGCGTGGGAAATGGGCTTAAGAAGAGTTGGAGAGCAGGTCCACGTGGCATCAATGCCAATGAATGAAAACATTATTCATTCATGGATGAAGAACGGGGGAGGGGACGAAGAAAAAGAAGAAGGGAGAGTTTGAGTTCCCTCCCGGTATTCCGCCCGCACAATTAGGCCTGGCGGCTACCGTTGCTTCCCTTCCCGGGCCCCCATTTGAAAGTCTCCCCCCGCAGTTCCTGTATCCGTTGTAGCCATTTTCTAGTCTCCACTGTTGCCTTTCCCTCCAGATTGATTGTCTCTCCCCCGCTCTCTCCCCCTTCAGTCGTCATTCCTCTTCATGCTGCTTCCTAGATTGTTGCTGTACCTCGTAGCTTTCAAGGGGAATGCTACTTGGCAAAGTTGGTGTGTGGCTGGAGGGGAATGCAGTCGCATTTGAGGAGTAATTCATTTTAGCTTCCCACTGTTGTTCTAGTAGCTGTTTTGAAGTTTTCCTTTTTTGCCTCGCGACTCCGGTGGAGTTGTCAAGGTGTCGGAGTGGATTTATTGAATCTCTACAGACACGCAGAGTTCGTTTCATTTAGGTCACATCTCTGGGGTTGTTGTCCTCTTATTAGTGCACTGTTCTCTACTGTGCGTCGTAGTCGCCGCCCACATCTTCGACATTGCTCATCGAGTACCTCCTCGACAATGGCTGGGATCTAGTTCGTCACGTTCGACCTGGTGCCAGTTCACGTTGTTCTAGGGGTGAAGGGAGAAAGCTTGGATGCAGCTCGGTGCCTTGTCATTCAGGAAGCGTTCTTGGCATTCTTAGGTCGTTATTTTATTAATTGTTTTGTGATTCGTAGCTGGTTAATGAGATAGCAGCTTCCAGGACGCAAAGTATGCTTGGTTCCCAATGCAGTGGAACCGATGTTAAGAATTGCATAATATATTAAGAACCTAGTGACTAGCTGGGGCGAGCTAGAAATGGCTACGTACAGCAGCAGGAAACCAGCGTGGGGACAGAAAGAAAACCAACAGGAAACGCCAGCGGATAAGAAGCGAAAGATGGTAGTCAGTGGGGCGTCGGGTTTAAAAGTCCGATCACATAGAGGAGTATTATCTGTTGTCAATCTAAGGGCGGAGGGTAATGCGGTTAGGAAATCCTTGGAGGCTGCAAACCCTTCCAAGGCAGGCATGGCTGCTGTGGCTGGGGACGGCTCGTCCACTTCCCCAGATTGTGTTGATGCTCTTTTGAACTTGAAGATGGTGGGTAAAACGAAATTCGACTTTAAGGTACTTTCGTCTCCATATGTGTACTCCTCCTTTTACGAATTTCCTCACCCTGTTGCGTAGCATGTTCTAATCTCGACTCAGTTCTCAAGTGTCCTCGTTGGTAGGGTCATACAATGAATCTGCTTTTCATTCCCTATCTTCATGGTCCTTCCTAGTAACTCTACTGAAAACTCCTCCCCATCCAGCGAGATGGTGAAGAACTGAAGTAAACGGAACATGTCTTCACTGCTCTTTTCGCTGACTTATTAGCTTTTTGAGTGGCATTGATTTCCCATGGATTTGAGATGCACATGACTGAGTACTTTCAAATGAGATGTGTCGAGAATTATTCGTCCAGGTTTTCTGCGTTTGTCTAGTGCACTGCTCAGTACTCTAATTTTCAGCGAGGACCTCAAAGCTGTTTTGACCATGACCGTCTAGCTGTTTATCTCTTCCCTCTTCTGGGCCTCTGAATGTCTTGGGGTGATGTCTTTAGTGAGAAGTTATGGTAAAGAAAATATGGAAAAAATTAACCGGAAACGTTTCTCGTAACGATTAAATGCCTCTCTTGACGGTCTTCTCCCGGACAAGGATTCCATCCCAACTATTCAATTAACAGTGTTTTGACCCCGCGATACACGGCTCTGTGTACAATTGCCACTTTGCAACACAGTAATTCACTCTAATTGTTGAAGTCCTGATTTTGAAGCAATCTATGTCCTGGATCATATTTTGAAGAGATAGCTGCATGTAATAGTTACTAAGGCTTCGACGTAAAATATTAGACTTCGAATCTTCCGTACTTCTTTCCAAGGTCAAATACTGGTGTGAAAGGCTTACCGTAGTGTCTCTTATTCCTCTACGACTCACGTGGGGTTAATGCCATCGGTCATGAAACTATCTGCCTACCTGAGTTGTGACCTTCCGGCTCTGGGATTACTCTGTATAAGGTTTCTCCAATTGCTTACATGGTTGACCCCCTGACTCTTAACAGGGAAAGAGTGAGCAGATGATGGACTACATCAAGAAGCTTCGCACATGCATACGGGCCTTTCAGGAACTGGACAGGAACCATACGCAGGAGAAGCTTGAGCAGTTGAAGCAAATTGAAGCTCAAAGACTGAGTCGCGTGGAATCTGGTTCTTACCTTGCATCACACCTCTTATTTATTCTATACTTATATGAGTTGTCTTTCCGCCCGGCCTCCTGCACCAAGGTCTCCAGTTCGTGCGTATAGTTGCAATGGACTCTGAACTCGAGATATGGATACTCACAAAATTTATCTTATTTGTTGGTGCAGAGACTCAAATGCGAAATCAGTATCTTCAGCTGGAGTCCGGTTACGGAGAACTCAAGGCCCTGTATTCCCAGTTACAACAGGAATTGAATCAGGAACAAGCGGCTAAACAGGTCTGTCCGTGCCCTCTATAGCAAACTTATGGAGCGATGCCGTTGCAATGTAGTTAGGAATCAGTCTTATAAACTCTGCAAATCCTCTCGTCTTAATGTATCATACAACGCCGATCTTTCACTGCACTGAAAAGTTATGTATGTCATTTCTGAAATGTGCTTGTTTTCCTTTTTATAAATGCTTGAGGCTCTGAGCTAGTCAGTTATTACTGGTCAGCCGCTGATGATTTCGCCGATTTTCGTCCCATCTAATATTCTTGTCAACTTACCGAAGTCTGTATGGAGGGATGGTCCTTCAGGCGCTTGTGCGGGTGGAAGAGAAGCATGTGGAAACTATTCAATCCAGGGAGAAAGATATAACAATGCTGAATGGTCAGATCGAAAAGTTGCAGAGTGATCTGATCTCCTCGAACAAACAAGTATTATACATCCCCAACCAGCTGTTTCTCGGGATTAACTTCCGAGGATTCTCCGTCATTGCTATCATCCCTTCATAAGCATAAATTATGATAGATGTTGACTGATCTTATTCAATCTGGAATGATCGTACCTCCTCTACTCATTTGCCAGCTAATATGGCAAGCATGCATTTTTGCTGCTGATAATGCTATTTCCTGAACATCCTACTTACTTCCAACGTCACTTGGTTATTAGGTTAGTGTTTTGCAAGATATCAACAAACGATTACAGGAGTACAACACTAGCTTGCAACAATATAACAGCAAGTTGCAAGTGGACGCCAGTAATGCAGCCGAGGCAATGTCCCGCACACAGAAAGAGAAGGCAGCTATTATGGAAAATCTCAGTACTCTTCGTGGTTCCACTACTTCTCTTAACGCCCAACTGGCCGCTACTAAGGTACATTTCTATTACCGATGTTTTCTGCGACTTCCTGAGTACATCATGTAATGATTCATTTTTTCTTTTTCATGTTTGTCGATGTTATGTTCTCTTCAGGTTCTATTTCTGTAGCGCACATTACACTACACTGACTCGTATCGTTGTTAATATGTATGCATTCAGCCTCCCAGGCCCCAAGGCAGTTATGAATCTAACATGGAGATTGCTTTTGGAATGCAGGCCAGCTTACAGGACAAGATCCAGCAACACAAGGACGCAGTTGAAGAGGCATCTCGTTTGCGTATGGACATTCAGCGCTGTACTGAGGATCGGGATCAACTTGCCAGTCAGGTATTACCCATTAGCTCTAATTTTTTAACTGGCAAAAGAACCGATTGTTTTGAGGATCTTTGCCGCAGTATGAAAACGTCTCAGTTTACATTGTAAAGTGTGTACGTGCATGCCGGTTGCAGGTATCATCTTTTGAAGCCGAGAATGCCATGTACAAGGAGTGCACTGGCAAGTCTGTGGCCGAGATCAAGCTTATAAGTAACAAAGCCTTAGCTCTAGAGGTACACTCTAAGCCTGAGGTCGATTAGCTTGCTTCAGCTTTGGAGTCTAGCACCTCTGAAACTCCTTGACTCATAATGATAATCAAATGATTATTGCAGGAGAGTTATACTACAGCTAATGAGCGAATCAAAAGTCTCCGTCAACAGCTGGAGATCACTCAGCACAAGCTGGAGGTGGCCGAATCTCAATTGGAACTCAGTCGGGGTGAGAGTGCGACACAGGGCATGAAATATGCCGAGATTTCTGAGCGCCTAGTGGAAACAGAGCGTAAGGTGAAGGAGGGCGAGATGTTGCGGAGAAAGCTACATAATACCATATTGGTACGTCACCTGCTTGCATGACCTATTGGTGTGTGGAATTGTCCATCTTCCCAACTATTCGTTCTCGTTCGCATTCTGATCCGATTGAGATTGCGCTGGTATGTTTGCCACAGGAGCTGAAGGGTAACATCCGCGTATTTTGTAGAGTTAGACCTCTTATGGTTGAGGAGGACGAAGGAAACGAGTCCCCTTCCGTGCAATTCCCGTCCTCTACCGATTTAGAAGGACGTGCTATCGAACTCGTTCAACCTTCAGGTAACATAAACTCATTTGGCCGTCGCTGGACTATGGCTTATTAGCATGTAGGAAGTGCGCGTAGATGCGCCTCCTTGGCTTGATGCCTCTTAGTCGCATGGGCCGTTTACCATGTGAGCGGGGTGTCGAAACGAACATTTTCATACCGTAGAACATGCCCGGGTACTGATAGCAGTTTCCATAAGATTGTATAAGACTTAGTTTGAGTGGTTTAATTCCTGTTGATTGCCATACCAGCAAAGTTGAATCTTACTTGACGCAGAGCGGTTTGCAGTGTCGCCTATAAATGATGAGTTTTGTGTTATACCAGGAGGCCCAAAGCATTGTTTCCAATTCGATAAAGTTTTTGGACCTGATGTGAAGCAAGCTGGCGTATTTGAAGAGATCTCTCAGTTGGTTCAAAGTGCTCTTGACGGATATAAGGTATAATTTTACTTCTCGTGATGGCTTGCCTGGTATGTATATGAGTTCGTCGCCGGCGATCGTTGGAATGGATTACTTATTTACATTAGTATTTCGACATTATTGTAACGTTTCACGCGATTCATGCAGGTCTGCATATTTGCGTATGGTCAGACTGGATCGGGAAAGACGCACACCATGATAGGTAACCCAGAAATTCCTGACGAAGGAGGGGTTATTCCCCGCTCTCTGGAGCAAGTCTTCGAGTCTAGTCAGGCCTTGATAGCGCAAGGCTGGAAATTCTGCATGCAGGTACGATTACATGCTGCCATTAACCTTCGTTTAGAAGGGTGGGTTGGAGAACATTAACTAATTGCGAAGCATGGCACCTTGCAGGCATCAATGTTAGAAATCTACAACGAAACCATTCGTGATTTGCTGGCGAAAGGGCCAGTGAATGGAGATGTCAAGCAAATGTATGTGGTGAAGCATGACCCGAGTGGCAACACAAGCGTGTCAGACCTCACACTTGTGGAGGTTGCAACATGGAAAGAGGTTTCTAATCTCCTTCATCGAGCATCCCAAAGCAGGTATCGTCTGCAACAGACATTACTCCGAGACCTATCACTCCCAAATTGTTTATGTGGCCTATATCTCACTCTTAACCCCATATGTCTCTGGCTGCAGGTCTACAAGTAAGACATTGATGAATGAGCAGTCGTCACGGAGCCATTGCGTCTTCACTCTCAGAATCTCTGGCGTAAACGAGGTATTGCTTGATTTTTGTCCTGGAAAGGGTACTCAAGTTTTTCTTCTGAGTCTGACGTGGCGGATGCTTCTATTGGTTATGATGTTATCATGTTGAATCTGTTGGTTGAACTGTCCCCTCATTCTTTTTCAGGGCACTGAACAAGCCGTCCACGGAGTTTTGAACCTTATTGATCTGGCCGGAAGTGAGCGCCTATCTCGTAGTGGTGCTACTGGAGATCGCTTGAAAGAGACACAGGTGCAACTCTCGTGTCCCAATTACATGTAGTTTCATGGTTTTTTTAAGACGTTATCATGGTACTCACGAGGGTAGTACCACCAACGCAAAGGCGTTCCTCTTTCGAAATTTGTTCCTTACTGTCGCTCACTATCGCGATTGTGCTAACAGGCTATCAACAAGAGCTTGGCAAGTTTGGGTGATGTCATAATGGCAATTGCTAATAAGGATCCTCATGTTCCTTTCCGCAACTCCAAGCTCACCTACCTCCTTCAAGTAAGGGCTCTAAACGATTCATCAATTATTCTCACAAACTATGTCCCAGCGCCTACACGTATATATTGGTAGTATGCACATTGCATCATATTACAATATGTTGCAATTTAGGTGTGACCGCCGTTTTACACTGGTTTCTGTGACATGCTGCAGCTACTGCAAGCATTCGAGATTTAAGTGTTCCTGAATTTGTACTTTGTTGCTGTTTCAGCCTTGTCTCGGAGGAGATTCGAAGACCTTGATGTTTGTCAACATCTCTCCTGATATGAAGTCTTTGAATGAATCATTGTGTTCTCTCAGATTCGCTGCTAAAGTGAATGCCTGCGAAATTGGTGTTCCCCATCGCCAGACTTCCTTGAGCATTCGTTCAAGTTAGCTTGTCTCGAGTATTTAATGATTCTTAGGGCGAGGTGTGGAGTACGGACTGTTGCCATTTAATAATGTTCAGAACGTGGATTCACATCATTCATCCGTTTTTCGATTGGTCAAACATTATTTGCAATCAGTTCTGTACTGGAGCTCCTTAATTACTTAAGGTCATTTATGTTGCAGTACATCTATCTGGAAATTCATGGCTAGGTCTTAGTGTGGAAGTTATTCTGGTGCAAATATTGGAGTAAAGCCAGGTCGAGTAGCGCTTAGACTGGTCCAAAAAGGTCCTGTACCACGAACATGTACAAATGGCAAGTAGTTGTATACCAGTTGTAGGTACTTATTAGTAAAATTTTTCATCAAGACCCTACTTGATGGGCTTTGCGCTCACCTCTGTCGCATTCGTATCGACTGGGCATGATTTGTTTGTTTATTAATACCACATTCAAACATTGAACCTAAAAATCGAATCTTGCAGCATAAACCATTTAATGTGTCATACTTATTCCTGTTGCACCTGTAAAAGCTCTGATATTTAAAGTTGTCATTCACATCCGTGGGTTTTGTATTTCTCGTTGAATAGAGCCTTCAAAAACGTAGCAGATGAAGGAAATGAAGCTTACTTTCTTCATGTCTCCTATATCCAGGAAAGATTTGAAGTTACTTTCTTAAAATTGAGTGAAAGTTGTAATGCGTATACAATTGATGTGCTTGTTGAATAAACTTTAGTCCAATAAATTTGGCAGTTTTCCTCGAGAGAAGGTGATTAGTAAACGGTCTATGGGCTATTCTCCCCTCGAAATGGTTTGGTGAATGGTGGTACAGGCATTGTAATCCCTCGCTGGCGTGGGTTATTTTCATGGCTCTTTGAGGCAACTATTTCTCAAAGTATATAGTGAAGCCATACTGTGTGTTTGAATTTGTACCTTATTTTCTTTGGTACTTTGAACCACCTAAAAATTGTCCACTAAAGTCTCAGTAGGTAAAGAGAAAAAATTCCAGGAAAATCATCAACAAAAGTTTGAATAGTAGGTATGTAATATGCACAGGACATACATGACATTGTATATATAAAGAAACAAGATATGTGGTATCTTAGTATTGCAAAATAAAAGTTTTGGCGTAATTAAATATTGCTTTGTTTGTGGTAATTTTATACCAAGTCTTGGTAATTTTGTTCTTACTATATTTTATACTTTGTGATTATAAAATAATTTAAAAAATGTAGAGAATTTGACAAAATTATTCATTACAATTTTAAAATTCATATTTAAAAAATATAAAATAAATTAAATTTCCATATAATTTATGATTTACTATAATCCATATTATCAAATATCAATGGATATTATGGATTATCAATATATTAATCCATATAATTTATGATTTACTATAAAAAGACAAAATTTTAATATTATCAATTTAAGTTAATTCATATCAATATTCAAAATTTGTTGTTTTAAACTTTTTTTTTAAAAAGTGAAAATTTCATTGTTCTAATATTCTAATTAAATATTAAAATAAAATAATAAATATTTCTCTCTAAAATACATGATAATTATTATATTTGATAAAACCAATTATTGTCTCAAAAAATAAAATAAAATTGTTGTATGGCTAGTATCTTCAAGATGATGAAGATGTTAAAATGATATGTAAATATTTAATGAAATATATTTAACATAAAAATACATTATAAATTTTGTGTTTTGATAATTTAAATATTAAATTTATTAAGTGAAATACATTAAAAAATTAAAAAATTAAAAAAATTTAGACTGTATTGATGATGCCAAAAAATATCTAATTACATATATGTAGAGAAAGAAGAGAAATTTCATTTTTAGCTTTGTAATGTAATATTAAAAATTTATGGAAACTTTTAAAAGTATAACAATTGATAAATTGTATTTAAAATTTGCTTTGTAATCTGTAAATAAAAATTTATTTTAATATACAAAATCCGTTACTTCTTAAAACAACATATTGAACATTATTCAAACAAAAACACAAGATCTTACATTATAAAACTAGTTAGTTTATATAAGAAAAGAAGAGATGGAATTATGAAATAAAATTTAATTTTTTTATCTTTGTGTATTCACTATTGCAATAACTAGACATAGTACATATGTTCAAAATAAAGCACTATGTATATTTTATTTTATAAGCATTTGATATGTGTCCACAAATTGTTTTTTTTTTGTTTTTTTTTGTTTTTTTTTTGGGGGGTGGGGGGGGGGGGAGGGTGTAGCATGGCTGTGAAATATGTAACAATTATATGACAATAATATTATTGTGTATATGTGGGGTTGCGTAACACAAGGGGATGTCCATGCAGTAGAACTGGGGTGTCCACCAAGTGGTTTTTTTAGTTTAATTAGATAAACATTTAATACAAATAATTTTGACACCTATTACTTTAGCTTTCCTATCTTTATTGCAATATATATATATATATATATATATATATATATATATTTATACATACACACATGTATAGGCATATACAAATATACAAATTTCTCAATTTAAATTTTACTAGCATATTTTTAATCTTTTTCCTTTGAGTTTGACTTTATTATTCTTATTTAAAAACACATAATAGCTATGAAATATAAAATAGATGCAAGTATAATGAGTCTCGTGCACTAACTTGCAGATTATCCAATTTGTAAAGAAGTGCAGTTTACTTCCAAATGGGAATCAAAATTGATGAGCTGTTTGAAAATTTTAATTTTGTGAAATACATCCCAATTTTAAAGAAAACAAACTCACAAACACATGATGGATAATAAGTTATTAGCAAAGAGACATATGTGCTCTTTATTTTTGTAAAGCATTAAAGTTATGGAACCATAGATGACTGGTGCTAGAATTCTGAAGAGAAAACATTGATAGCACAGTCTTATTCAACTTTAATCCAAATGGTTAAAATAAATAATGTAAGAAAGAAAAGAAGAGATAAGAGAATGGCATGTGTGTATATCCATGTCAGGATGTTCCAATTGCAATGGGGCAAGTTTGATTTTCAAGCAGTTTCATTGTAATTTTAATTTGTCATTTGATATCAGGTGAAACATTGAAAGTACTTGTTACGCCATATATTTGGATACGAGATAATCCTGAAGATGTATTATGAGGCTATTTCAACACATTTGCTCGAGTTAAAACATATAATGTGTTGTTTGTGTGACTAAGTTATTTAAAGAAGAAAAAAATGAAGAGACATGGTATTTAATTTCTTTTAACAAGTAAAAACAGAGTCTAGTTTTAAGAAAAGAAAAAAGATTAGTGTAATAAAATGGATCATTCTTTAACAAAGAAAAATATGTTCTCCTGGCCTGCATTTAGAGAAAAAGCTTGTAATGGTGGTATTACTTCCTATTGAAAGAAATGATATTTTCATCAAAACCTTAATACTTGAAAGTAATCAAATACAGTAAGGAAAAATAAAAGTGAAAGAAACATTTTGATAAAATTCAAAACATTGGAAGTGTCACCAGTGCATTTGGTTTATACCTCAGTAAACACTAAGACAAGACTGTTCCAAAGAGTAAACAAATAACATATGCGCATATATTTATAAAATATGTCTATACATATATATATACATATATATATATATATATATATATATATATATATATATACATGAATATATAAAAGTGGGATGCACAGAGACTACATTGAAACAATTTCAACAACACCTTTCAGTTGAATGTATGAAAACCAACGATTATCATGTGTTTCCAAATATAACCCACATTGTTATTATAAGAAGTAAGTGGTAATAAGATTTGGGTGCCCCTCCTAATTATAAAAATAATGCGAGGAGCCATGTACCATGAGCCACGAGCCATGTCAGCATGGAGACAACGGTGGTGGGCTGTGGCCGTGGGCATAAATGTGGCCATTCGGATGGAGATGCAGCAGCTGCTGGCCGCCGCCGTCTCCGCCGCCGCCGCCTGCCGCCGGGAGGTGGTGGTGGTGATGATGGGAGCGGTTGGTGCTGGCGTGGCTGCCTCCACCCGCCGCTGCCGCCGCCGCGCCAACGCCGTGGAGCATTCCAGCGCGGGCGAGAAGCACGTTCGTGGGGCTCCACTGGTGTTGATGGTCTAACCCTGATTCAACCCCGATTACTCCCGCAAGTGCCGTGTTGTTGTGCAGGCTCCACAAGTTCAGCAGCTCCAAGATGGCCACCACTATTACAAACACTTCCAGTATTTTCTGTCCCTCATTTCCAAAGCAAAGCCACTCTTCTTCTGTTAGATATCACCCACTTTCTATGATATATGTCATGTCCTTCACATGAAATTTTGAAGCGTTTGAAGTACAGAAAAAATGATGTCAAAACAGGAATTTTTCTCTGTGTTATACTGTGTGATGAAAGTGGCTTGATCATGTCTCAAGATTATCCTAAAGTGACGTGAGTGGTTTCTTTATTTTTTATTTTTTTTCATTTATTTGAATGCTTTTATAATAGATGAATTTCTCCTTGTGGTAAGTTAGATTTTTTTATTAGTTAATCTAAACTTGATTAAATGGGTCTTCTTTTCAAAGTTTGAGTTGAATATCTTAGATAGAACTCAACACTTGTTATTGTTTTCAGAAATAATTTTTTCATAATTCTTTTGTTAATGTACGTTTATGAAATTTATCATGCATTGAAACTTGTGAGCATACAAAATCAAAAAGCAGAAAAAAAAAAAAAAAAAAAAAAAAACAAAATTAGAACAAAAAAATGTATTGTTGTTAACTATGTTTTGTAAACCAGTATTTGATAAACAATTTCTTTGTGTTTTTATTTGCACTTCTTTGTGAACTAGACAAAAGTTAGTTAAGAAATCTAAACAAAATATGAACTCATTTCAATAATTTGGCAAATAAAAAACGAAATTATTTTCTTTGAATTGGTTGAAATTTAGTTGAAGCTTGAGTGACTAATTTTAAGACATAAATGTTAAATAATACAATTATATTTCCCTCATGATTTTTTTTGTTTTTTGTTAGTTTTGTTAGTTTTTTTTTTTTTTTTTTTTTTTTTTTCTCCTTCAAATGTTCATTGAAACAAAGTTTTGTGTAAATAGACAAATTGTGACACTAATGTAAATGTAACGATGCATCAGCATTACATGTACTATTACATGTAAACATGTAATCTATAATGTTATTCAAAATTCTCAAAAGATAAGTGTTAGCTGACAAAACATTTTGAATGATAATTTGTGTATACATGGGTGTGAATTAAACATATAGAGATAAAACTCTTACCAATCTTCTTGGGCGCAATCCACCACTGACATCAATTTCTTTGGCTGCAAATCTACACACATATACTTGATTTAATGAACCAAGTCAATCATATTTAAAAGAGATTGGTTGTCAACAAAAGCACTGACAACCACAGATTCAAATGCATTTTTACAATTTCATTCAACATCTTCTACTTTTTGTTTATTGAACATGTCTGCATAGAGTTGCACAAATTTGAAGTTTTTCAATTTGATGAGAGCAATAGGATATTGAGTTACAAACAAATGTGCTGTAAAGGAGACTGAATGAGAAGAAGTGTGGAGGTCTTGTAAAGTGCAGTTGTTGTCATGAGGAAGGCACACTAACCCCATGGCCAGTAGGTCAAGAAGCCATGCTAGTAAAGATATGGTAGTGGCAACAGCAAGGCTGTTGCTACTCAATGCAGCAGCATGGCTGACTCCTGCCAACACTGATGCCAATCCCACCACACATGACAGTAGAGCTGCTGGTAAAAACCATGTTGTTACATAGTCACCTGCATTGGATATGAGAGAGAGAGAGAGAGAGAGAGATGTTAAAATTAGAGTAGAATGAAAAATCCACACATCACACCCACCCACCCACCCACATACACACACACACCCAGTAGCAGCACCTAAGGCAAAGAGCCAACAGGTGTGTGCTAGCTTCTGAGTTTCACAAGATTGATTGATAAATTGATTGAATCAATGGTGAGCAAGGACATAGAGCCCAGGTGTGTGTGTGTGTGTGTTGCTGGCTTTGTTTTGATGTTGGTGTATACACATACCAACAAGGTTTTCACCAATGGCATTGTGGCTGTTGATGTTTTGGTTGAAGCCCCAGCCTGCAAGGCAAGCACCCACCCCATACAAGACACAGTTGACAAGCAGAAGTGGTGCTCTCCAGGCAACCCCTCCCCTCACCACCACCAGGCCCATGGCCTCCTCTTCCCCTCTTGTGTTTGCCTCTTCTTCTTCCTCCTCCTCTCTCTCTCTCTATGCCCGTCAATCTCTGCATCCTCCTCCTGCTCTCTGTCTCCACAGTTATTATAACTTGTCCATTGCATGTCACACTTTGTAAAAAAGAAAATTGCCTACACAAAATGCATCTCAAACAGCCACAGCCACAGCAAAGCAGACAGTCAGTCAGACAAAACAGAACAGACTCCCATTGCACCACACACACAGACACACAGAGGCAGAGCATACACTCCTAACCACCCCTATACCTACCTGCTCACCTCATGTCATTCAAGCCAGAGGCAGAGACATCTTTTGTTTTGCCACCTATACATACATTACTACAACTAATCCCTCCCCCCATAACCCTGTAACTTTTATAGAGTTCACATGCCCAGAGCAGTGCAGGGCAGGGCAGGGCATTGGTCTCATGCCACACAATATGATTGAAGATCACCAACCACTCTTCTAGAGGAGGAGGAGGTGGTGGTGGTGGTGCTGCTGCTTCAAAAGTGAGTGAGTGAGTGAGTGTCTCATTTGTCTGTAACTGCTCCTGTATGTGTAACCTTCCTTCTTCCCTTATCCTCCCTTTAATTCCCACAAAATGACACAGATAATCCTTTCTAACAAATAGACATGATAGTATTTATTGACATGCTAATTTTAAAATACTGTTTAAAACAAAAGGTGTATTGAGTATGAACTACTAGCATTGAATGACCTCCAAGAAACAACAAGTTATCATATATTAGTAAAGCAAAGTGAATATTGGTTTGGAGCTAGTTATGAATTGGTATGGACCATTTTTATTCAATTAAAAAATTAAAAAATTAAAAATCAATACTTGGTGAAAGTAAATAACAAGGTTCAAATGTGAATGCTCTGCATGCATAAAAATGTTTGTAAGTAATGAATTATTCCATTAGGTTGATGCTACCCCTTATAACTAAATGAAAGTATCAGAGGTTTGGTAAACTATTTTATTTTATTTTATTTTATTTTGTCAAATTTAAATAATTGCATTATATATTATCAATTTGTTTAAATAATTTCAAATATTATACCTTATAATTACTGGATGACCGATTGGTTTATATATTTAACATGTTTTCACGTATTAAAAAACAATTCTACAGTTCTATTTTGAAATATGTAAGTACATGCCATGTTATCTTCAAAATACAATAAAAAATGATCTTAATATGCTATAATCAAACATATTTACATATATAATAGAAAAATGGAAAAAAATTTGAATAATAATTAAAGAATAATTTAATTAGTATTTTTTATATTTAGTTATTATAGAAAATATTTTTTTTGAATTTTATATTAAAAAATAAAGATGTTATAGAAATTCATAAAAAATTAGTAATTTTTAATAATATTTATTTATTTATCTATGAAAAATTTCAATTAATAATATATTTTTTTTATTTAGTTGTCCACAAACAAATACTTCACAACTAGGACATTGTCCCACTTGTCTTTCATTAAGTAATATATAAGACTCAACTTTCCACATTTTTTTAGAATATAACATCTTCTGTTTTGAAACATCTATTAGACTTAAGAAGTTCTTATTGTGTTTGTAGTTGATCAAGAAAAAGTTGCCTTTGATACAAGACATGGTAAGCATAATACATTTAGTGTTGCCAGCAAATAGATGAAGGTGAGAAAAAAAAAGCACTAGTTTAAATCTTTGCTTGATAAAATGAACTATTTGAATTATTTTCTCGTAACAATTGTAACATAGGTTTAGTCACTAAAATTCTAATCTAGAGCTTATACTCATTTGTGAGTTGTTATGTAAATGTATTGTCATATGTTATTTTCAATCAAGTGTAGTGGCATTAGACTAAATCTATAAAATCAACAATTGATATCTTTAGCAAGCCTATAGAAAGATATAAAGGAATTAAAGATGTATGTTAAGAATTATTTTTTGACTAGATAATATAATTACAATGTAATTTAAATTGAAAAGGTACAAATAAGAAATTCATAAAACATAATTATTTTTTCTTCTTTATTAAGAAAGAATTTTAGCTTATTGGTAAACTTTTTGATACTACAACATATTAAAGATAAATTACTTGCATTGGCAAAAAATTGTCCAAATAAGAAAATATCATCTATAATGTATATATTTTAAGAAAGATGATTTAATTCAAGGTTCTCATTATTATTAATATAAATTTATAAGTCATCTTTCAACTTCAAAAGAAAACAATAATGATGTTCAAAAATGAGGGCATCAACTTAGAGTATAATGAATATTGTCAATATAATATCAAAACGAAATGCAATTACATTAGCTATGAACTATAAGATATTTGAAGAAGATGCAATATATTTTATTCATCATATACAAAAAAATCTATCAATAATTACTATAAATAGTTATAAAAATTTACATAGTAATATTTAATAAATATTGATTAAATATAGAAATTTGGATTTTATATAATAGATAAAATATTCATAGGAATATTATTAATTAATTATTCTTATTATAGTTATAATAAAATTTAAGTAAATTAATTTAATAATATTTTTAATAGTTTGATTTATAAGATGCACTAAACATAAAATATAATAAAAACTTTAAATATTATTGTGGCTTCAATTTTTGTTAATTTTCTTTTGATAAACTTATACTTTTTTAGTAATCTAATACTTCAAAATCTAATTATTTTATCTCTCTAATTGAAGTAAATTGCATTAAAAAACTTCACCATAATTTTGAATATTGCTTTATTATTGTTCAATTTATCAAAAAAAATAATGACTCATAAGTAGAATAACAATGATTTATTGTTGTTTATTGCATGTAAAAAAATATAAGTGTCTTAGTTAGAATTTCCAAAATTAACAATAGAAACATTGACAATTTTTGAAAACATCTACTATGCATTCATAATATCAGAGATGAACTGCAATAATGCTACACAAATAATGTAAGATGTAGTTAGGAATTTTTTTTGGAAATAAATGTTTTATTAAATTAATAATATCAAGAATTAATTATGTTTTTTCGAATTTTTTTATAGAAAAAGAAATTATAGATGCTACTTTTAACAAAAAAAAGAATAGATTTGTAACTATTATAGATCTTCACGAGCTTGTCAATAGTCTTAAGGTGAAAATCTTACATATTTCTAACATCAACCCTGGAAGTACTATTTTTACACATATAGAAGAAATCAACAATGAGATTCAAAGTCTATTCCAAGAAATTATATATTTAAAAAAAATAAGTAGATTAAATTTATAATTAAATCCAAGAAGTCTTATTATTATAAGTATGAAGGAAATAAGGATAAATATGCCAAAGAAGGTTGATGGAGCAAGATTAAAATTTTGAGGATTTCTACAATAAGAGAAGCTCTATATAAGATTGCATCTTTTCCAATACCTTGATGGATTTACTAAATTTAGTTTCATAGATATACTTTTATCTAAGAGTGATTTTTATTGTTTGTATCCTTTATAATCAAAATCTATTACAACCATATTTGAATAAAGTGATTGAGAAAGAGTAGTAGAGACCAAATTCCTATCTTTATAATAAAGATTATGTTTAGCTACCATATATGTTGCAAAATTTTAAAATCTTGCTTGAAACGTGGATTGAAATGATAAAGCTTTTATCATTCAATTTCAATATAGGTTAGAAGATAATATTAATGAATTATTTTTAACAATGCCAAGAGCAAACTCATTGGAGCAAATTATTGCTTAAGTCATTGCATGTAATAATTGGCTCTTTGTAAGATACTAAGAATATAGATTTGGTTGGAGATGTTCAAGTCAAGTCATGGCAACAACTTTGAAGTTTTCATAAGCTTATTCATTAAGGTCAAAATCTATATAAATTAATATAATTTATTCCAAACTTTTTACTGAGCAAGAAAAGATTCAATGTTGTAAAATAAATTATATTTATATTATAGAGGATTTGAGCACATTTTTCAATATTATTCAAAAAATTAAGGTAATCACAAAATGAAGAGCATAGTTGCTAAAAAAACTGACGTGTTAGAAAAAAAGTTTTTTTTAATTACAATAAAAACTGTGCAATTCAAATCATATATAACATCTAGTAAAGGTCCTATTATCTCTTCAAATCTCTCAACTTGATTTATAATAGAAGTTTATTTAGGATCAAAAAATTCATAAAGTCTTTATTTTGGTAGATTCACAAGCCTTAGCTTGTTTTATAGTCAAAGATTTCATTAAAAAATAAAAAATATGTTTATTCAAAAAAACTAAATCTATGCATATAGAAGTCATAGATGATTGTTTGTTATTATTTGGAGTTGTTATCCATGATATTGTTCCTTTAAATATAATAAAAAAAGATCATAATAGCTTAGTAATATTTTATGTAATAAGTCATATCAATCTAATTATTTTAGGATTATTGTGGCTAAAAAACTATAATCTTTAAATAGACTAAATTTCTTGTGGTTTAATTCAAAATTCTATTAGTCAAGTAAAAATCCATGAATCCAATACAACCAAATCTTTATTAGTAGATACAAGAACTTTCATAGATGTTGTAAAAAAAAGGTCACCTTTTACTATATATGCTATATCTATTTTAATAATAAAAAGACTTCATATAAAATTTTAAGTTAGTATCAAGATTACTAAAATATTTTTGAAAAGAAAAATGAAAATATTTTTTTAAATCATTGTCTCTATGATTATTTAATAGATCTTTAAAAAAGAATTCAACCACAAATTAGACAATTTTATAGCTTACTGTAGTATAAGTTGGCTATACTCAAGGAATATATTGATAAGAATTTTGCTAAAAAATTCATACTCTATTTTAAATTTCTAGTAGAAGCTCTTAACTTATTTGTGAAGAAAAAAAAAAAAAAACTCTATATATATATATATATATATATATATATATATATATATGTAGACTATTGAAGACTTAATAAAATCACTATCAAGAATAGATATCTATTATATTTGATTGTAAGACTTCTTGATTAATTTAATTAAATAAAGATCTATACTAAAATAAATTGATGGATATTATATAACTTAATACATATTAAAATTAGAGATAACTAAAAAATTATGTTTCAAACTAGGTTTAGACATTTGGAATATAATGTCATACTTTTTGAACTCATGAATTCATTAATTATTATTTAAAATCTAATAAATATTTTTTTTGAATTTCTTAATAATTTTTTTATTTTTTATCTAAAAAATATTATAATCTATTCTAAAAACATAAAAGAGCATAAATTTTATGTTTGTCATATGTTAAAATTTTTTAAAGATGTAGGATTATATGTCAAGATGAAAAAGTGTGTATTTAATACTACTTAAGTTGACTATCTAGGACTCATCATTTGAAATAATGGCCTCAAAATAGATCTTAAGTAAGTCCAAATTATCATAGATTGGAAGATTTCAAGAACAATAAAAAATGTCCAAGAATAAAAAAAACTATTGGATCTTCATCA